AGAACGCTCATTTGTACATCATTCTAGACAGAAATAAATGGCCTTTTTAGAAAGTGAACCATGGATGGGCAAATGTTGGCAGTTTTCTCAAAAAAGGCTTGAATTCAAGAAGTTTAAGATTTGCGTGGTTTTTTTTGAGTTGCAAAATTCACTTGAACATGACACTGCTTTTTTCGAAGTTTCTCAAGAGCAATTCGAGCCACCGAATTCGTTTTGGCATCGTTGGATAGAGAATTGAATGGGTGGGGGGGAACCCAAATAATTCTGTTTTTACTGAAATTTTATGAAGTTCGTAGAATATTTTACAACTGATTTTCCTCGGACTGTTAAAAATATCGATTTTTGATACTGAAGTTACCCAGATATAATCGTAGATAGTAACGATATTTTCAATACTTTTTCCCGTTTCAAATTGCAGTTAAAAGGCGAATAACACTGTTTTTACCGGTATTTCAGAAACGGACTTTTCTAGGTTTGAAAGAAAACTTAAAGACCGGTAGTTCGGAGCGGCACCTGAAAGAGGAATGTTTTTTTCAGGAATTTCTTTTCTTCAGCTTTTTGCAACTTTCCAGTCGTTATGAAACTGAGCTTATTACGATTTAAGAAATTTGGTTTTTAATTCTGAAGCTACCCGCACATAACTGTCTGTAGTTCCATCATCTGCAATAACTGCCCATAATTTAGCACCGACCTTCAAAGAAGAATATCTTCACTGTCTACAGGTTCTTAGAAAATTTGCTTTGACCACTAAAGTGATCCTACTTCGACCTAGAGAAAAATGGGCATTCAATTCTGAGGTTACCAAATTAACTAATTAACAAAGTCATTAATTAAAAAGTTAAAGAAATACTACCATAGTATGACCAGACTTGGAAAAAAAATTTGCAGTGTTTTAAATATTAAAAATCTGTTGAAAACTACCGCGGTTTTGAGCCAAAGCGTGACGGGATTTTCATTCTGGATTTGCCCAGACACAATCGCATGTAGTTCCGTTAAAGATAAGCATTTGTGGCTTCGTCACAGTGCGTTTAAAACTGCTCAATCTTCCATTTCTTCCACCCACTAAATTTTAAAATAGGAAAAAGTCAGCTCGTTTTCATATAAAAAATATTTAGATAGAACACTTCGCGCTTACAGAAGAGCAGAACAGCTCTGAAATTTAGGATAGGAATTAAAATTCTCAATAAAATCGATAATGTTGAAGAACAAGTGGCAAATTTTGGAGTTTTTCAGTTTCCTAATGTGGGTTTTCGACCGCTGGTCCCCTTACAGCTACCAGAACAATAGGGAAAAGTACAAAGACGACGAGGAAAAGCGCGAGTTTAACTTGAAAGAGTGTCTCTGGTTCTGCATGACATCACTAACGCCCCAAGGTGGAGGCGAAGCCCCAAAAAATTTATCTGGTAAGCATCAGCAGACGAATTTGTTGTTTGAATTCGAACTCGATTAAATCACGAAATCAAACTTGCAGGTAGATTAGTCGCAGCTACTTGGTGGCTATTTGGGTTTATTATCATTGCATCCTACACGGCCAATTTGGCTGCTTTTCTAACTGTGTCCCGTCTGGACACTCCCATCGAGTCTCTGGACGATCTGTCCAAACAGTACAAAATCCAGTATGCTCCAGTCAACGGCAGCTCTACCATGACTTACTTCCAAAGAATGGCGGACATTGAAGCCCAGTTTTATGAGTAGGAATATTCTCCTTTTACTAGTCATTTGGCTGAATTTTTTCTTCTGGCAGAATCTGGAAGGACATGAGCTTGAACGACAGCTTAAGCGATGTTGAACGAGCCAAACTAGCAGTGTGGGATTATCCAGTATCGGATAAGTACACGAAAATGTGGCAAGCGATGAAAGAAGCTGGATTGCCGCCTGATTTGGATACGGCAATTGAGCGCGTGAAAAAGTCAAAGTCTTCATCTGAAGGTAGAAAGTTTATCAACGGGACCAATAATTAACAAAGTTTCTCATAGCAATGAGCGTTGAAACCATTTTGAAAAATTTCAGGTTTTGCCTACTTAGGAGATGCAACCGACATTAAATACCTGGAAATAACCAATTGCGATATGGCAATTGTTGGCGAAGAGTTCTCGAGGAAACCCTATGCTATTGCGGTGCAACAGGGCTCGCCATTAAAGGATCAGTTCAATACTGCGTAAGAAAAACCAGCAAAAACGAACGTAAATCCCCAATTCTCATTCCGTTTCAGTATCTTGCAGCTTCTCAACCGGCGCGAACTGGAGCGCCTGAAAGAGAGATGGTGGAACAAGAACCCGGAGAAGAAACAATGCGAAAAGGCGGACGATCAAGCGGATGGAATCAGCATCCAGAACATCGGCGGAGTTTTCATTGTGATTTTCGTTGGAATTGGGTTGGCATGCATCACATTGGCTTTCGAATACTGGTGGTATAAGTACAGGAAAAACACCAGAGTTACCAATGTGGCTGAAGCCCCGAATAGCCGACATCACAAAGTGGGTGGCGTTCAGAAGGGTTTTCCGCGGCAGTTCGAGGGCGAGAGCGACATGAAGATCACCAAACTGTACCCGAAAACGAAATTTTAAGCCTTTTTCTGTGTGGAGCACCAGTAGGGTAGGTTTTTCTGAACATCCCACAGTGTGTGTTAAGTGTGTGAATATTTTTTGTCAGCAGCCTAAGAAATGATAGGTTTTAGTGTTTTCCAACTCATACAGCCTATGATGATGGTTCACCAGCTTTGTGCTTGTGCTTCATTGCAAAATACTTTCTTTTCTTATACCAAAACTGTAAAGAGTGTCGTTTAATAAATTTGTCTTTGTTCTGTTTCTGTTTTATTCCTTTATTATTGTTAAGCTAACTTTGGCATTTGATATGCTCTACAATTGCAATGGTTTCTGTCAGCAAAATATGTTCTCCTGTATCTGGCTAAGTTGATAGCTTCATAAAAAAAAGAAGAACAATGAAGTAATTTGTGATTATAATAATCGAGTTAACAAAAAAAACTCACTGTTTGGGATCTAAAATGGTTCCTACCAAGCGTCACTTTAACTGAGGCGAAACAGTAGAAGAAAATCAATTTTCCAAGACTAAATTCGAATATTCTAATTGTGATAATTATTTTAAAGTCACTATCAATTTATTGCTCTGTTAAATTCTATATTAAAATGTTACATGGAATTGAAGGCAACTCAAAATTAATTCCTGGGTTTGGTCATTTAATGTCTTTATTTATCAATTAAATTACGTTTCGGTGTATTATTTTTCTAAAATAACATAGTTAAAAAAAATTTCATTAATTTAAAAAACAATCACACTTCGTCAACAGCCTCATCATATCACACATTAAAATACATCACAATTGCAACACTT